TCCTACAACGGCTACAAGAGAGACATTTCCTCAATTTCCTTGATTGTTGATGATCGTCTTTGGTTTCACTCTGTAATTCAAACCGGTGACGCCGTCATTTCTTCAAATCTTTCAGATACCGATGTCATCGTTGTTAGCTCGGGATATCAAACCGAGACGTTTGAGAGATGGGCCTTGCTTTAAAATGTGTAAATAAATCAACGGTATATCTACCTAAAAATAAATATTCTGATTTCCACGTGTTTGGCGGTTCCCTAAGCGTCAGAATTAAGAGAAGAAGGGCAGCGACTTGAAACTTCTCACAGATAATATTCAATGAGTATTAAGATAAAATATACCTAAAATACACGACGGGGGATCTAGTTCAATGCGCATTAAAACCCCCTCCACATCTTCGAGTTGTACAAATAATACGTTTGTTACTAATAAACTATTTAGTTTTGGAGCTGCATAAACAAGAATCATGATACGCGAACAAGATTGTCGGTTTCAAACCACTACCACTTATTGGCGTGAATGCATGGAGCAAATACAATGTCGATCCTCGTGTGAAAACCCGCCCAGAAGGACACTCTTGAGAATCGAATAAAAAAAATACATAAACAAAAGTCTTACCCGAATCTTCCGAGCTAACAACGATGACATCGGTATCTGTAAGATTTGAAGAAATGACGGTAAGTCACCGGTTTGAATTACAGAGTGAAACCAAAGACGATCATCAACAATCAAGGAAATTGAGGAAATGTCTCTCGCGTAGCCGTTGTAGGAAGCCGAAAAGGGTTTTATTTTAAGTCACTTAACCTGAAAAAGCTTCCTCTACTAAAAAAATTTAAATAATCGTGGCAATATAATACAGTTACAGAAAGAAACAGCTTACCTTTCTCCATCGTGCTCGCTCCTGCGGGAAACTATACAAAAATGTAGTAAAAATTTTCGCTGTGGCTATATGGCCGGTAACCGGTCAAGGTGTTAAAAACACTAAATGACCGGCAGTCCCATATTCCGTAAATTTCACAAAATCGAAAGACTCTAGCTAATTTAACTATCATATGTCGATTAAGACAAGTCAAGCGATCCTGAAATGCTTTATAGATCTCAAGTCTGACGAAACCGTGTTTTGTGACACTTACAACTTTTTTCAGCTCGACAGCCTGTCAAGGTTTTCAAAACATTAAATGGCCGGCAGTCCCACATTCTCAGTAAATTTCACAAATCGAAAAAATTCAGCCGTTCTGAACTATCATAAGTCGTGATCCTGATCAAACCAGCCGGTTTTGTGGGATTTCTATATTATGTTTTTGTTGGTCTCGAGTCTTTGGATGTTCGCTACTATTTTCTATCCAAAGTATGGCGTGACAGGCGACGTTTGACGTCATAACATCTTGACCTTTCATGCGGCCTCCGTGGAGAACCGGCGGGAAAAATCTCTACGCGTTAGTTCCCTTCTGGAGCTGAAATACACTTCAACATTATCTTGTCGACGTTTATATGATGAAACAAAAAAGCTTTTTTGTACAAGGTAATCTTAACTTTGCGTTGATGTATAGAAATAATATCGAGTTTTCAGTATTTGTTCTTTGCCATTGAGTGGACTGCGAAATTTACTGAGAATATAGGACTGCTAGCCATTTAGTGTTTTGAAAACCTTGACCGGTTACCGGCCATATAGCCACANAGAAAGAAACAGCTTACCTTTCTCCATCGTGCTCGCTCCTGCGGGAAACTATACAAAAATGTAGTAAAAATTTTCGCTGTGGCTATATGGCCGGTAACCGGTCAAGGTGTTAAAAACACTAAATGACCGGCAGTCCCATATTCCGTAAATTTCACAAAATCGAAAGACTCTAGCTAATTTAACTATCATATGTCGATTAAGACAAGTCAAGCGATCCTGAAATGCTTTATAGATCTCAAGTCTGACGAAACCGTGTTTTGTGACACTTACAACTTTTTTCAGCTCGACAGCCTGTCAAGGTTTTCAAAACATTAAATGGCCGGCAGTCCCACATTCTCAGTAAATTTCACAAATCGAAAAAATTCAGCCGTTCTGAACTATCATAAGTCGTGATCCTGATCAAACCAGCCGGTTTTGTGGGATTTCTATATTATGTTTTTGTTGGTCTCGAGTCTTTGGATGTTCGCTACTATTTTCTATCCAAAGTATGGCGTGACAGGCGACGTTTGACGTCATAACATCTTGACCTTTCATGCGGCCTCCGTGGAGAACCGGCGGGAAAAATCTCTACGCGTTAGTTCCCTTCTGGAGCTGAAATACACTTCAACATTATCTTGTCGACGTTTATATGATGAAACAAAAAAGCTTTTTTGTACAAGGTAATCTTAACTTTGCGTTGATGTATAGAAATAATATCGAGTTTTCAGTATTTGTTCTTTGCCATTGAGTGGACTGCGAAATTTACTGAGAATATAGGACTGCTAGCCATTTAGTGTTTTGAAAACCTTGACCGGTTACCGGCCATATAGCCACAGCGAAAAATTT